CAGGTGTGAACAAGTGCAGCAATCAGGACAGGTATTCCCATTACAAGAAATAATACTAGCAGATGTTCAAAGGCAGAAAAGGCGGGGTGTTTGGAAAAGAGCAACTTCACTCAATAAATGGTATGAGGATGATGAATATCTGAATTTTAGGTTACTTAGTCATTCAATGAACAGTTTTAGTTTGAATTATTGATTCTTAACAACCTAGTTCTATAACCTAACTGTGCAAATCAAAGAGTATGTGAGTGATGGTGCAAGTGGTTTGTGATGAATAAATTCAGCATTCAAAGACAAACCTAGATCACTTCAAAATCTATGGCTTTATATTTTTTTCTCTCAAATAATTTAACAAGCATTAATAAATAAATTTGGGAAAAATAAGTGTTGAAGACAAATCTCAAGCTCAGTTTATGTAATCATTTAATAAATATTTATGGAACATTCTCTTTATACGTGACATTGTTCTTGATACTAATAAGATATAGTGAATAAAACCAATTAAAATCCTGACTTCTAGAAAGCTTACATGTAGTGTATCATATGTATGGCAGTAATAACAATATGGCAGGAGAATGGATATTATTTCTTAATAAATTTCTCATTAATTATATATAGACTGAAGCAATAGCACAGCGGGTAGGGCATTCGCCTTGCAAACCGCCAACATGGCCGACCCAAGTTGAATTCCTCCACCCCTCTCAGAGAGCCGGCAAGCTATCGAGAGTATCTTGCCAACATGGCAAAGCCTGGCAAGCTACCCGTGGCGTATTTGATATGCCAAACACAGTAACAACAAAGTCTCACAATGGAGATGTTACTGGGCCCGCTTGAGAAAATCAATAAACAATGGGAGGACAGTGACAGTGACAGTGACAGTGACAGAATTATATATATTTTTAATTTGGCTCAATTCTTAGAATTTTTAACCTGATAAGTTTTAAAGACAATCCTGAAATCTATTTGGTGGTCTCAACTTCACCAACTATGAGCTAAATTGATTACTTCCTATATTTTAAGAACATTTTTTTATGAGTTAAATTGATTAGCAACTAGATTCTAAGAACATTTTTACAGTATTTATATGCCCCATTTCACATAATACTTAGAAGAGATGAGAACTATTATTGCCTTGGGCCAAAGCAATAGTACAACTAGTAGGATGCTTGCCTTAAAAGCAACTGTGTGTTTATGATTGGATATGTTTATTTCTATAATAAGATAATGAAAGGGGTTAAATAAAGAGAGGAGCAACTGAATTTTATATGGAAAAGCAAAAGATATTATCTGTGTGTAAGCTATCATCATTAATATTACTACTTTCGGAAATAGAGCCATAACAATCATAGATCTATCTGGTACAATAAACTGCCTGCTTTTCTATCAAAGACGTACTTTGGCAGGGGTCATGAGGATGTTGCTGTACCTAATGGTGCTCAGGCCTTATTCCTGGTTCTGTGCTCAAGGGTCACACCTGCTGTTGCTTTAGAGACCATGTGGGTGTTGGGAACTGAACTGAGGTCAGCCGCATGCAAGGCAAGTGTCAAAACATTTGTACTATTTATCTCTTCAGTCCTCAAAGAACCACTTTTTATGTAACAGAAAATTTGACATGAAAGAGAAATTATACATTTATATGATGATCACATTGCTCTTTTTGTGTGTGTGAGCAGATTCATATTAAATTGCTCTAATCATATCCTTTAAAAAGTGAAAAACGTAAATTCAAGGAACTCATGGATTGAGAGCTCAAAGGGCTGGAGCACTCGCCTTTCCTGCCTGAGGCTCTGAGTTCCACGCCTTGCACCACAAACCACCTTTGGTGCCCACCTGAGCTCTGTAGCAACAGGGGAGGCCTGGGTACCCATCAGATTTGCTGACCCAAGCAGCATTTCATAGCCAGGCCCCAGCACAGAACCATCAGACCCACGCAGCCAAGCCAAGTGTGTAAGAAGACCCAGTGCCTCTGACCACGCCTAGAATCTCTCCCACTGCAAAAACATTGAATAAACTCAGACTACCATGATGTAAATGTTCCTGAGAGCCAAGCAACTGGAAGCTAGATAGAAAACACAGAGCATAAATAATATCCCATGATTAGAAGTTTTCATTTTTCCTCTCTTTAGAAATTAGTGAAGAAGTAGTTGAATTTCTAATGAATCAGATTATAAGGATGGCTTACTCGGTTGTCAAGGCTCTGCCCTCAGCCTCCACTTGCTTGTGGTTTACTATGTTAATTCATTGCTCAGCCTTGCAAGACACCGTCCTCCATTCATTTCAAACTCTTTGCAGCCCTTCAACATGGCCTGCTGTTTGCTTCTTTGCTTTTGCTCTTCCCTCTGCCAGGCGTACATTCCTTTCTTTGGTCTGGTTGGCCAGATTCCATATGCCGTCCAGACTCAACTTAGTCGTGACTTTCCCGTAGAACCTTTCTTGACTAGTCAACACAGAATCAATCGGTTTTCTGTTTTGGTTCTGTAAACAACATTCTGCATGCAATTCTGCAAAGATGCTATTATTGGTCCTTTGATGTGTCTGTGTCTTTTTCAAGATTGGAAGCTTCTTAAGAGCAAGGACTGTTTTCCATTTATCTTAGTTTTCCAAGCTCCAGCATAGGGAATAGATCATAATTGTTCTTAAAAAATTAATGAGAGATGAGTGAACTGTGAATCATCTTCTAATATCTGTAAACATATGTATATGTACATGTATATATTCTGGTTTCAATGCCTTGACAGTTACATAAAATGTGAAATATGCTGATATATTTATATAGTTGAAGCATGGTGATGTATGCACAAATATATCAAAATTGTACTGATAGTTACATAAAAAGATTAAATACATTGATAGAAAGGGTTTGTATAGGTTTTTTGTTGTATAAATGATAAAGATCTAATTAACAAATTAACCATTTCAGAATAAATGATTATTATCAGCAGAAAAAGAAAAGATAAAAAGCTGTTTTTATCTTTTCAATTTTAACTGCCCTAAAGTTTGGTGTTAGTGTAACAACAATCCTGATAATTCAATGCAATGCATGAGTAAAGAAAATTTGCCAAAGTCATGCAAATAGTTTATTCTGAGTACAATGGAAATAAAATAAAACTTTAAGACCACAACTTAAAAAATACCCCAAAAAATGCTTAGGTAAGATTTTATTTCCTCAAGTTTGTAAAATACCAACTAAATGCAAACTCTTTCGTAAAACTTGCTATTTCAGAAGGAAAGATAACTTAAAATATGCAAGAAAGTGCAAGACCTAATTACTGAAAGGGCATATGCATACCAAAATTGAAATAAAACTATTCAAAGCAAGGTTATATGTGCTGAATGTGACAATGTACATAATTTGACTTTCTATTGATTAGCTATCGGAAGTGCTTATATTTCGGTACAGATTAGTCAGGGTGCTAAGAATTTATTATCTAAAAAGTCATCTAAATTTAGCTATGATATGAAAGTCTTCTCATTCCGTAACTTATGAATTTAAATGAGAAAAATTTTAATCTGAACCCAGGAAAAGAAGTTAAAGTTAGTAGATAAAAGTGAAAAAAGGTATTTCCTAAACATGTATCAAATAAACTTGAGATTCCGTTTTCCTGACTTCTGGTATATAACAGTGCACTATCAAGCAACTGTTATCTCTTAATCTTCATTACTCATGGGGCTTTCTCTGAAAACATTTTTTTCCTCCAGGATATGCATTTTTTACTTATTTAACATACAAAAGAATGCATATGATATTCATAATTTAGAACAGGAAGTGGTCATAGATAAATGTGAGTTAATTTTGGTAACTCAATGTTTTTAAAGATCTATTTTCATCTTGTTTACTATACCCATCAGACTCATAAAGAAAAATGATTGGTGAAGTTTATCTCTAAAGTAGTAAAAAGCAAATTCTGCAGAATCGACTAAATGAACCACAGACTGCTTCCAGGCTGTCATTGTCAAGGAATTGGTCATCAAAACAAAAATACTACCTGTTTGAAATTCAAAAAAAAAGAAGTGAGCGATAGGAATTTCTTGCATAAACTTGTAAATACATAAAATTAAACCCTAGCATTCCCCAGTGAAATACGCAGGAGTGGTATTTTAATTTGACTCTTAAAAAGACTTTTTTAAAAACATGTTGTCTTATCCGTCTTGACCCTTTTTCTTGCCAGGATTATTTTTTTATTCTGAAAAGGCATTCACTTTCCTTTTCTTCAATAAGAAATATAGGTTGAGAATGCTAACAGGAGGCTCCGATTCACTTAACTTCTGCATCTGGAATTCCACAGCTGCTCTATCAGGCTTCGTGCTGAATGAACACGGTGTCATCAAACCTCGCCAATAATAACCCTGTCCCTCCTGTCAAAGGGAAAATCTCCAAAACTTAGGCTCAACTTTGAAGACTCATTAGCTACAGAGCGTGGGTGTCAGTGGGGTGGCAAAGCTGGGTCGCCAGTGTCCGCACAACTGAAGCCAGCAGCCCACCCAGAGTTGAGGATTTTCATCACCTATTTTCAATGATAACAACTGTTTGTATGAACAGGATACACAAGTATACCACAAACCACAACCGAATGCCACTACAACCTCTAAGTTTAAAGCTCGGCTCTGAAGCAATTAAGTTGCAGGACCGCAGGCAGCTCACGACACTTTTTAAAAGACAGACCTCAGATAATAATCTAAAGCATGCCCTGTGGGTTTTTACCCCCTCTGGTCTCTTACTCCTGGCCTACCTTCATCCGCCCCCCACCCCCACCCCATCCTCCCCAGAGTGAGCGTGAATCTGAATTACAAACAGTTAAATCTGAAGGTCACTTCGCAGCTGCGTCCCAACATGCCCCCCCAGCGAGGCTGCAAGGCAACAATGAAACAAAGCCTTGCAACCACCTGTAATAATCTGCCTGCTCAGCCGGCAATCCGGAAAGTCCTGAAGCTACAAGGTAGACATTTTCTGCAGCTGTTTGAACATGAAGATTGTGCCCAGCTGCCGGCTCGCCTCCTCTTACCTTCACATTAGTCCGGAGTGCACAGTAGCATGCAAAGAACATCGCAGTAAATAAGGAGCATATGGACCGGTGTTCAGCTTTTCAGCACAGCGCAAGCCCCACACACAGGATCCTGGGCATGTGCTACCAAGGAGCATCCGTTCCCTCTGTCAGTTTGGAAATGCATTGATCTCTGTTTTCTCTGACTACACAACGACATGTCTTGAAGGCACTGAGTGAAAGCTCCAAATCTCTTCATTGGCTATAGATAGCATGGTGCCCAGTAATTTCAATTAGCCGGGAATTCAGCTTCTGAAAGTTAAGACTTCAGTTGCTTTTCCTTCTAGCATTTTAAATCACTGGGTTTAAAAAAAAAAAAAGGGAGGGGGAATGAGCTCACCCAGGAAGAAGGGGGAAGGTGAAAATTGAAATTTAACCAATGAGTTACTTATGTTTCTGGAGAGCCCTGATATTATCCTATTAGATACTTTACAATGGAACTGCATCGGGAACTGCAAATGAAGAGAAAACCCTTTTCCCTTCGGAGGCTTAATATGGGCTCTCTGCACTGTATTCCAGGCTGTTCTGATGCAGCACCCTGTTTGGCGAATACTACAAATCACTGCAAACACGTCTCATTCTGTTTCTCTGGATGGAATAGGACGAGGCGGCGGGCGAATCACTGTCTCATGAAGTCCCCTAAAATGTAAACTGGGTTCCCCTGCGGTGATCTGATCTATGATTGAATGATCAGAAGTACCTCCTCTTACTCCCCGGTCCTACATTATCGGTTATATCTTGCAGAGATAGCTAAAGTTGCTATGATAGCTAGCAAAACAATACCTCCAATTCTCCCAAACTAAGCTTTATCGGTCAGTGACAATCGATAACAGGAGGTGGGATTGGAATAAAGGCAGCCGATTACAGGGGTGACATAACCACGTATTTAGTGGGTACTTCTGCTGAATGTAAGGTGTTTGGCTATATGGGAAGAGAAAAAGCTAGGGGAACTAATAAAAGCTTCTGCCCCCATGAATCCAAGAGGGGAAAAAAAAAAAATCAAAACATCGTCAGATCCTACTGTCTATTGTCATTCCTGTCAGGCACCGGATCTCGCAAATTAACTCAATTTTTCACTGAGCCAAAAGGACAAAGTCCAATCTAAGGTCCTGGACTCTTATTTCAGCCTTAGGAAGCACCGACGCTCAGAATTCTAAGGCTAGCTAGCAAAATGCAAGCAGGAATGAACAGTTCCCACTGCAGCAAAAATAGTAGGAGGAAGAAGAGTGGTTCTGCCTTTGCCATGACGTTCCCCATCAGCTTACAGCAACAGGGAAGATCAGCAGAACTCCGGAGAAAAGCTGCAGTGACTTTTAGGATTTTTTTCCTTTCGTCTGTTTTGCATAAACCACCTCCCTTTGGACCCTGCAGTGGTGCTGAGGCTCTGTGGAGCCACTGGGCATTTGGTCTGGGCGTTGAGCTGAGGCAGTGGAAGGAGGAACCAAGGTATTTGAAAGAGAAATTAAGCACAGAAGGAATGCAGGGTTTTCTTTTTGCCTCTCAACGACAAGACAAGCATTGAGAAAGTGTCGTCAGTTCTGACTAAAAGCTATTTTGGGCTGTCATTGTCTGTGCCTTTTTTAGGAGGAAAAAGGCAATCTGATCTTAAGCAGGAGATTCTTTAGCGATGTAAAAGGAGGCAGACGCTTCCCTTGATTCGCTATTCCTTCTGTCACCCGAGTCTAGGTAATTACAAATTGGAAGCCCTTGCAGCACCACCAGAGATTTCTAGGACATAGAAAAAAAAAATCCGCATGGATGCGCAGCAGCGCTCATCGTTTCACAACTTTCATTAACGACTTTAAATGCAGAACCAAGTATTTCAGTTAATAATACTTTCCTCCCCAGAGTTCATAGCAGGTCAGTTTTCCCGAAGCCCTTCCCAATAAATGGACCTAAACATAGCAACTCAGTGCCATGAGACCACATACAATTCTTAAAATGTCGTGCTCCATTGGGGATTAGAGGATTTTAAAAATCAATTTTTCAGCTTGTGGTATCTTTTCATTAGGAATCTGAGAGAAAATCAACAGTACCTCATTTTTTATTATGATTTTAATAGACCCTAGGGTCTTCTGATGGCCCAGGAGAGACAGAAAAAAAAATTAAAAGCTGATACATTTTACAAATTTCAGAACAGTGTGTAAGCACAGATTAAATACAAATGATGTTAGAAGATAAGAAGTATACACAGTTTTTCTACTAAAGACAATCACGGAGACTTTCAGATATAGTGTGTGTGTGTGTGTGTGTGTGTGTGTGTGTGTGTGTGTGTTTTAAAGAGAGTCTCAGATATGCATATTCACTTAGTCATACACTTATCCATCCCAAAGCATCTCAGTACTGACATGGAGGATTATACCTGTAGATTTATTTTCTAATTTTTCTAAGTGTATTAGAAAAGCTGATCTACTAATTCTCTTTGTACAGGAAGGAGATGAGGTATTAATTACAATAATAATGTGCTACTGAAATATATTATCTATTTTAAGCAAAGGACGTGTACCTGCTAAAAGAATAAAATATTTGTTATTGTTTAAGAAAATTGTAACTGGTTACATAAATTTGGAGGGCAACAAAGTAAATCTCCGCTCTAAAACTCACAAGGAATTAGTATTACAAAATCATTTCCTGATTTTCTAATCCTTTTTGTTGCCATTTGGAAACTTGTGATCTACAAAAATAGGGATGCTTAGCTCAGTGTCATTAAGATTAAAGATGAACGTCATAAACTTAGTCTAGATGGGTAAAAGTTTGAAGTGAAGGAAATTTAAATCATAAACATGTTAGAAAAAAACTAAACTTTGTTTTTTCACTGTTTTCGTAGTCGTGACCTTTTTTCTTCCTTTTTTTCTTTCTTTCTTTCTTTCTTTCTTTCTTTCTCTTTCTTTTTTTACTTTTTTTATTGAATCACTGTGAGATAGACCCTTACAAAGCTGTCCATGATTAGGTTTCAGTCGTACAGTATTCCAACACCGTGTACATTTCCCAGCACCATGTCCTCAGGTTCCCTCCCATCCTTCCATCACCCCATCCCTTCCCATCCCCCATCCCCTGCCTTCCTCTATAGAGCACTCTCTCTCTCTCTCTCTCTCTCTCTCTCTCTCTCTCTCTTTCTCTCTCTCACCCTCTCTCTCTCTCCCCCCATCTCCTCCCCTCTCCTTTGGGGCATGTGGTTTGCAATATTGGTACTGAAAGGTTGCAAGAATATACCTTCACCTACTTTTAACACTCAGATCTTGTCCAGCATGATCATTCCCTGCTATTACTATCATACTGGCTGGAGCGATAGCACAGCGGTAGGGCGTTTGCCTTGCACGCAGCCAACACGGCCGACCAGAGTTCGATTCCTCTGCCCCTCTCGGAGAGCCCGGCAAGCTACCGAGAGGATCTCGCCCGCACGGCAGAGCCTGGCAAGCTACCCGTGATGTATTCGATATGCCAGACACAGTAACAACAAAGTCTCCAATGGAGACGTTACTGGGCCCGCTCGAGCAAATCGATGATCAACAGGAGGGCCTTTACTTTACTTTACTATCATACTGGTCTCTTCTCCATCTTACCTACCCTCAGGAACACACTCTTGTGGTTGATTCCAACAATTCACCAGTGTTCCTAGCCCCTGTTTTCCCCGACCATGTTTTTTCAATTTGTTTTTCTATATCAAAATGCAGAAATACAAAGCCATGTAAGACAAGCAATTATGACTACGAAAAAATATAAAAATTACTCTTGGCCAAATGCAGTGACAAAATGGGTAAATAAATGTAGGACATTCAGTGGAAAATTTCCTTACAATGCAAAGAAATTCAAAAATCACTAAAAAGATCAAATAAAATATAGTCAAAGAACAAAGTCACAATTCACATAAAAAACACAGAATATATTACAATCTTCAACCTAATTTTCATTTAAGGAAATTCATGAAGGAAAAGCATTAAAACTGATATATCAAACTTTTAAAAACCTATTCTGCCCTCAAAAAAAAAAGTTGAGGCTGGAGCAATAGCACAGCGGGTAGGGCTTTGCCTTGCATGCAGCCAACCCAGGTTGTTTGATTCCAGGTATCCGATATGGTCCCCCGAGCACCACCAGGAGTTATTCCTAAGTGCAGAGCCAGGTGTGACAAAAACACACACACACATATATGTATATTCTACCCATAGGATATATTAAGTAGTTAAAAAAAATTAGAAGGTAATTATTCAAATATTTCAATTTATTTATTTAGGTTTTTTTTTTTTTGACACACCTGGCTATGCACAGGGTTTGTTCTTGGTTCTGCACTCAGCGATCCCTCCTGGCAGGGCTCAAGGGACCATATTGTATGCCAGGCACTGAACCCAGACCAGCCACATGCAAAGCAACCACCTTACCAATTGTACTATCTCGCCAGCCCCCTATCAAATATCTTAAAAGGCACATTAGTGTATGTAATAATTCATCTTCAACTTTGAGGAATTAATCCTAGATTCTTACCTATATCTAAAGCAATTGCTATAATAATTCTACACATAAATATTTCTTATTGGGGGAGTTTTTAAAATATAGTTTATCTATGCCATAGACTGCTCTGCAGTCATTAAAAAAATAGAGGACATTTACATTTTCTTATCTTAAAGAATGACCAAGTTACAATATTAACTATGCAAACAGGTTGTTAAGGAGTTTCCATACAGCTGTGGTAGGATGTATTTGCATGAAAATTTAACAAAATTAATCATTAAGAATTAGGGATTGACTTGGGAAGAGTAAGACACTTTAATTTTTTCATTTTACATTCTTTGTCCACTGTAGTGGTTTACCCACAAGAAACTAATTATCCCTTTATTCTCTCTCAGTACATTGTGAGATAGCTTTTTCAGATCCTCTTTACGGGAATCTGCATTGCAAAACAACTTGTTTTTCTGCCCCTGAGCAAGGAATTCGGATACAGGTGCCCTGAGTTGCAAGTAAGGAGAAGTGGGAGGGGGGGTCAGACCAGATAACCAGATGTCTCTCACAAAGCCCATGTCACAAGACCCAGGATTGCCCTAAAAAACCAGTACATTCCTAAGCACTGACACAAACGCTGATCTTTAAACTATAGGCTAAGGAGTGATGTGCTTTAAAATGGATTGGTCAGGGAAGTATGGGTTGTTACAACTCTATTGGCTATGAAATGCGCGGGCTCTACTGTAAAGGCCGGTGAAGGCCTATATAAGATCCCCTTTGAAGAAGCTCGGGGTCTTGCCCATTCTGTGGGACCTGCGTGTCTGCATAGGCAGCTCAATCCTGGCTAGCCAGTCTTACAAT